GGCAGAGAGTTGGGATATGTTGAGATGAAAGAGGCGGAGGTGCAAGAGGATGGCAGCACAGAGGAGCCTAGAAGTGAAGTGCCCGCAGCAGTCTGTGCAAGAGGATGGCAACCCAGTTTTTTGGGCGACATGTTGACACTTCCGGGCGCGCGAGGTACAGGAGTGATCGCTTCGTCAAACAGAGTTGTACGAGTGACCCTTGGCGGCACGCAGACCCGACCAGGGTAACTCAAGTCATCCTGTGTTCTGTTCCCTCAGGAGCTCACAGCGCTTACAGCATGATTTTCCTCATCGTGTACCCACTCTCCTCCAGAACTGGAAGCGAGTGACTGGCATTCGATGACCCTTTTGCCAAAAGCAGACTCTTGCTTTGGGGCTGTGCGATCCCTGTCCCCATTTCCAGGTTTGAGGCGGCCGTAGCGCTGAAGCTTGGGCTTCAGGTGAACTGTACAAGTCTAGAGTCCAGGGCAAGAGCTGTTGAGTTCAGAGTGCTGGATGGTCCGTGCTTGAGCTTGCATGCGATGGTCGAACACTTGTTCAAGGTGCCTTAGGGCAATTCGCTGCAATGATCCGTGCGCATTCGCATCACTGCCTGGCTTTTCTAGTAAAGGAATGCAAAAGATCTCTCCTTCGCGCACCTTCGCGCCACATAACGGTCATCGCGTTGGACTCATCGAAACCTGAAGCACCTCAACTGGAGACCAGGGTCCTGCAGCGCTGGGCGGAGCAGACTCAAGATCCAGATCACGCGACTGCGATGCTGCGGCAGCTGCCAAAAACGGACAGCACGGACGTCTACACATCGCGCTCCGGTTTTCTTCGCTGCCTACGTGCACTGCACTGGCTTCACGTAGCAGGTGCCCCTACAGCAGAGCTACTCGAAAGCTGGAGGTTGCTCGAGAATATAGGTCATGACGAGGCGCGATCCTTTCTTCCATGCGATTTGGCTGAGACCTTCTCCTTACTTGCAAGCTGCGAGAGATCTAGCACAGAGCTGGTCAGACATCTAAACATACAATGCCGCATTTTGTCCCGTTCATTTGCCGCAGAGGAAATTGCCCAGGTCATGCGGGCCTGTGGCAAGTTAAGTTTCAGGCCAGTCCAGACTTTTCGAAAACTGGGCAGCACATTTGGAGCACTCCTGCAAGACCCAGATGGCAACGGCGTGAAAGGATCTCAAATTGCCTGTGTTGCTGCCACACATGCTCTTCTTCAGATTTCCTGGCAAAGCCGCAAGCAGGAACGAGACCTCCAAATGTGGAAAGCAATGGCAGTAGCTTTGCCAAGGCATTTGCCAGATATGACATCAAGAGATATCGCCGTTACGTTAAATGCCTTTGCCAAGTTCGATTTTTCTTCTTCATCAATTCATGGCAACGTGTCGCACATGTTCTCAACTGTGGCAACGCGCTTGGTGCCTCTGGTGGCCCTCGCCGAGTTTCCACCGCGAGAGTTGGCTTTGGTTAGCAATGCCTTTGCCAAGATACGTGCCGGTCCCTGGGCTATGCCACTCTTGAAGACGATTTCGGCGTGTGCCACACCACAGCTACAGAGCTACAATGAACAGGACTTTTCCAATACACTCAATGCCTTTGCCCAACTGCGCGGCAGGGATCCGCTGTTTTTCGACGCAGTGTCGCTGGCAGTTGCCCCGAAGATCGCGTCCTTCGATCCACAGGGCCTCTCCCTGGTCGCCCACGCCTATGCGAAGCTGCAGTTCAGGCACGACAGCCTCTTTGAAAGAATAGCTGATGCATCCATGCGACTTATGGATCGCTTCAAGCCTCTTCATCTTGGAAACTTGGCTTATGCTTTTGGACGCTTGCAGATCCAAAACAAGCAGCTCATTTTATGTCTTGCGGACGAAGTCGTTTTTCGTGGTACCATCGGCAAAACGCTGCAAGACTCCAGTGACCTGTACCGTTTTCCATTGAGTCCGCTGGAAAGACTAACCCAAGCCTTTGCCAGGCTTTCAATCTCTGACCAAAGATTGTATTTCGTCTTGTTCGACATGACAAGGCAGCGTGTGCGTGAGTTGACACGTCATGTGGAGAATGCGGAAACTGAGCTGCCCAACAGCGCTGATAAGACTGGTGCGATTGCGCCAACTGCTCTTTCAGGGCATGGTTTGTCCATTTTACTTTCAGCCTTTGCAAAGAGCCAATCGAACTTCCACAGCTTGATGCGCTGGGTTCCGAAACAGGTGACTGGGCTGCAGGGACAGTATTCTACGCATCAGCTCTGCACTATCTTCAACTCCTGCAGCAAGCTTGGCATTGTAAACTCACCCATGTACACCGATCTCATTTCCTTTGCCAAGTTGCGTGTTCCACAAATGAGCCCCAGATCTCTTGCAATGCTGCTGCGTGGCATGGCCAGGGCCAAAACATCAAACCGTCAGGTGATTCGCAGTGCAGTGAAGGTAATTTCCGCCAAGCTGGTCGAGCTCGACGTGGTCGACGCATGTGCTCTTTTTGTTGGCTGTGCTGAGATGAATTATCGCGATGCGCGATTTCTGCGATTACTTGCTGCCGTGGTCAGGTCAAGGCTCGGTGAAGCGTCTGGAAGTCAACTGGCAACGGCGCTTGCCTGTTACGCTCACATGCGCATCCGTCATCTTGCCTGGTTTGATGCTATTCTCTTCGAGCTGTTCCAGAGGCAGCATGAACTGACGGAGAAGGATGCATCCAACATAGCATATGCCATGCTGCTTCTCGCGGCAGTAGAGAGACACGAGCTGCAACCAGCACCACAGGCCGGCACGCATGGCTATCCGTTTGACACGCATCATGGAGTGCTGTACAGCATGCTTGCAATCTCCAACGAGCACAGAAACGAACTCAACTATCCTGCGGTCTATCAACTACAGATTGTGGAGCTGTACCTACGTCTTTTGGAGCCCGGTGTTTATGATGCAATGCGTCAGGAATTGAAAACTCTGCTTGCGAAGGCTAGGAAGGTGAACGTCGTGGTCGATGATTACATGCAGAACTCCAGCCGGCTGCATCGCAGAATCTCCCAATGGTTTACACGCGTGGGCCTGCACCATCGCAGCGAGGTCTTCTTGGGGCCGTTTATGCTGGACATGGTGATTGGAAACCGCGTCGTTGTTGAGATCGATGGCCCGTCGCACTTCTACCGCGACACGAACACTAGAACTGCATCGAGCTTGCTGAAGCACAATCTGCTTAAGGCCATGGGCTTCCATGTGCGTCACTTGCCATACCAAGAATGGCAGCAGTGTGGCACGGCTGTCAAGCGGACCATGTACTGTTCTGCGTTCTGGAAGGATGTGTTGGCAGCCAGCGAGGATGAAATCAAAGCTGAAGCACCTCATAGGGGGCCAATCGCCGAGGGTGCTGACCGCAGAGTTCCTGAGCTAATTGACATCCTCGATCTTGTCCTGAACTGGCAGTCTGGCCAAGGGCCCCACCCCAGCATTGCGCTTCTGGGGAAAAAGTTGGAACCAAAGCGAGCGCAACAAAGTCTTCCAGCGTTCTACGAAACAGAGCCGCCTGAGATCGACGACGTTGCTGCGAGTCGGTTGAAGTTTGACGTGGATGCAGAAAGGCAGCAAGCCCGTTCCGAACAGGAGTTGCTAGCAGCTCATGCAGAGGCTGAAGCGGCTTTGGAAGATGACCGTCAGCAAAGCATTAGTTCGATCCAGCGTGTTCGTCTAGACTCTCGGAAGAAGCTGGAAGAGGGTCACGAGACCAACACGACACAAGATCTGCACGACATTATGCCGAGGTCCCGACGGAAGGTCATTCGTCACTCGAGTTCAGGGCTGTTCGACCAAGATGCTTTAGAGGAAAACACAGATGACAGTTCTGACGAGGAGCCTGACGCTGGTGGGGAGGTGGCAAAATGTGCAGCAGGCTTTGGCTTTTTCGATCCACCCGAACGTCATGTGCTCAGGCATCGCCATTTATCCTCAGCCGCAGAGATACACCCAGCTAAGCTCTGTTCATTTTTCGGTCATCCTTATTCCAAGGGGCTTCGTCATCTTTTGTGTGCTTCGGCTCGCATGCTCACCTTTGAAACAGGCTTGGAAGACAGCTCTTTGGACAGCTGTCCGTGCTTGGTGGGTTTCTATAGGTGAAACATGAAGTATGGTTTGCTTCAGTTGGGTTGCCTCCGCCTCTGTCACAGCTTTGTGGCCGTTCTACTGCACTTCCTTGTTTTGTTGGGAGGGGGTCTGGTTTGCAACTTAGGCACAGTTGTTTAGCAGAGCTCTCCAGGACTGTTGGCATTCAAGGCTCTGTCCTGGCCCCCGCCACGAGTGTGTTCAGATTTCAGGAGGTCGTTGGTTTTAGCTTTGGCGTTTTCTTCACTTCCTTCTTGTACCACCGCCCGAGCTCTGCGGAACCTGTGGGAGGCCTCCGAAGGAGACCCAGTTTTTGGTTCCAGTTAGCTAAAGAGAGAGCGAAAGCAAAAGCAGACAAGGAGCATCATGAGAGAGTTTTAGATTCTACCAGATCAGACACGTGACACCGGCTCAAGCGACGGCTTAGCAAAGGGATGACCTCCGGAGCGACGCACCGCAGGCTCTTCTCCTTTTGTGATGTCAGCCTGTCAACCTCCTGTCAGCTGATATGCAGAAGGTGCAGTAAGAGTTGCGAGGCAATTCTGGTACTGTGCTTTGACAGAACGCATGCAACAAGCAACGCATCAGCTGACACCAAGGTCCCTGCGATGTCATGAGCAGCAATGAAAAGCCTGTATCCAGATGAAGTAGAAACTTGCATTGGCACAGCATCGCCTCGCAGTTTCTCCATGTAGTAACCCGAGTCTTGGCGACGGAGCCGACATTGCGGTGATCTAAACTAAACCAGAGGCCTCAGACCTTGGCAGCAGGTCCGGCAGCTGAACCAAAGCTATCAAGGCTGAAGGCCCCCGTTTGTGACACATGAAGATGCAGACGAAGTCTGCAACAGAATGTCGATGCCCAATCTTCAGGGCTGAGATAGTCTTGTGCAGGTCGGCATAGAGTGAGCCCAATGGCTGCCGCGGGGATTTCTGGCCGACTATTCGGCTCTGCAGCAGACGCCTCCGGTGTTCAAGTCAAGGGCATGACATCGGACATGTGCAGTACTAGCTGCTAGGTCCGAAGCGCACAGGAAAGACCAAGCCGCGGTGGCAAGGATCGCCTTGCAGGTTGGCGGCTAGCAGTTGAATGACACAGCAAACAAACAGTCAGGGCGTGCGAGCGGTCATACCCACAAGACCTACGAGACCAGCGCAGTCCTCAGCCTGAGGCATTGCGCAGTCGAGTGCACCAACACGTGCTGTCATATTTCTACAAGTACTGTCCGAATACTTTCTGCCTCCACCGAGTGCATGGAAAATCGGTAGTGCCTTGCGTCGTGCCCACACATGCGCTAGCACCCGCCTTCGAGCGCTCAAGCTAAGCCTGCACTTCACTCCTTGCAAAATCTCAAAAGCACACAGCGGTGTGTGCATGAGGGAGATACTACACAATGACATCGCAGAAAGCTTTTTTCACGAGGTATTGCAAGGGCAGTGCTGGTCGGAGAATCAGAAGCAGCAGCCGTAGCAGAGGTCAAGTCATGCCCCGCAACTGGAGCACCCTAAACTGTGCTGTATGTGCTGTGCTCCTCATTTTGGACGATGGAGGGTTGTGTCCATCAAGAGTAGCACAAGCCGCTGCTGCTGGGTTTTTCTTCTGCTAGTTCTAGCTGTTGCTACTGCTGCTGCTACTGCTGCTGCTACTGCTGCTGCTACTGCTGCTGCTACGGCTACTGCTACTGCGACTGCTACTGCCATTGCTATTGCTATTGTATGACTACTCCTGCTGCTACTGCTGCTGCGACT